TGTCAGTTATTGAATTGTCATCATCATTGTCTAAGAGTTGTAAGGGAGTCCACCGGTTTCGTCTGGTCCCAGTTTTAGGAATTTTAGATGAAGACATGCCGACTTCATCATCCAAGCAATGGGACAGATTTCGTTTTGGAATTTTTTTATTAACGAGTAAGCAACTTCTAGAGAGCGATAGTTAGTTTGCACGTCTGACAATTGCGAAAGCCTAAGCAAGACTGACCTGCACTGACAATTTTCTGTCACAGGCTGTAGTATCCGTTACGAACTTCAAAACAATTCCGTTGAATAATGTCGCTAAATTCATCGAAATACAGAATGTCGGGAGGTACCGTTATATGGCGCCTATACGAAAACATGGACCGATATATCTCCTTTTCAATACCAACTATCCTATACATAATACAAATTGTTCTGCTAAATAATGTGGGCTGCATTGTGATTTCGACAGACAGACAGACGGACATCGTTAAGTTGACTTAGAATATAATGCTGATCATGAATAAAGTATATTATGGGGTCTACGACGAATATTTATGGGTGTTACAAACGGAATAACAAAGTTAATATACCCTCCTTTTTAAGATGGAGGGTATAAAAATAAGTGAGTGACTGACTGACTAATACATCAACGCCCAGGCGAAACGGTTGATGTTACAATCTTCAAAATTTTGCATGTGAATCAACGTGGGTAGGGGGAGATAAGGCTGGTTTTTGGAAGTTCAGACTAGACCAAAAGTATTACATTTGGTATAAAAATTGAGTTTGGGAAGTAGTGTTGATATTTTGTAGTGTAGGTATTTTGGAAATGTGTACTAAGTGTAACAACCCCATAAAATGATATTAAATTCGAAACAATTTGGTTTTGGTTGAACGCGTTAATCTGGGAATTTAATATGTTTGTATTGGTGTCTCTACTGGTGGGCAGAATTAAGATAAGGAGTTGGATTTGAAAATGCGTTCAGCAAGCGTACAAGGTTTGAAGGTGGTTTTGGATATACGTACTAAAAAGCACAAAATGGTTCCAAATTTTGATATTTCGGTAAGGGATTGAGTTGGAAGTCTACAATTTGGCATTAGGATCACCTTTTGTGCAGTTTGGTTGATTCATGGTGAGAGATTTGGAAATACTTACTAAAAAGTACTACACATTGGTATTTGGGGAGGGAATAAAGGTGGAAATCTGAAATTTGGAGTAAGAGTCTCTGATGTTTTGTAGGACAAACAAACTGAAACATTTTTCGAAATTATAACTATACGTGTACCAAAAGTACCAAAATGCACTAAATTGGTAGCCTTCAGTGGTATGTGAATGGATAGTGGTAAAATTTTCGGTATGAGAATCAATTCTAGGAAATTGTGTTGACGTAAGGAAGTGGTTTTGGAAATGTGTGCTAAGTGTAAGAAATGGAAACAATTCGGTTGGTGAAAGCGTTCCCATTCATGTGTAGCCTGGACATATGGGGGTGGTTTCGAAAATGTGAAATGTGTAAAAGTACTGAATGGTACTATATTTAGTACTGGGTGAACTAACATAAAAGTATGAAAATTGACATTTAGATTACTTTTGGTATCTGGGATTGCGATATGATGGCGGTTTCGGAAATGTGTACTATACTTGTACGAAAGGTACTTAATAGTACTAAATTTGGCATTAGGTGAAGGAATAGAGCTAAAATCCTGATAATTTGATATTAAGATCACTGTTGGCTTCGGTTTTTATTTAAATATGGAGGTGGTTTTGGAAATGTTGACTATAATTGTAAGAAAGATGCTTGGATATAGTTGAAATTCTGAAATTTTTATTGAGATTATGTGATAATCTAGAAGTACTAAATTTTACAAAATACGGTATTTAGGGAATTTAAAGTACGGAAATCTCGACATTCCATAATGCAGTCTCTGTTGGATTCTGGTTTTAAGTTCTATTGGTGGTTGTGCAAATGCGTACTATAAATTTTCGAAAAGACGTAAATGATACCATTTTTGGATCTCTGTTGGTGTCTAGGATGGAGAGATGTAGATTGTTTTGGATATGCGTTAGTAAATTTGGTTGTAGGTGAAAGGACAATGCTGATTTTCTAATATTTGATATTGAGATCACTATTGGTTTCTAGGGTTTACATATGTAGACGTTGAAGAAGTACAACATGTTTCTATTATTCGTCAAAAATAATACTGAATAACATACAAGGTGAGATAAAAAACTACAACAAAGTCAAACGCCATAATTTTTACTTTTTTTTAATTTTATTGAATGGAAACAAGAAATGTCGGAAATAGCATCAAAATTTTAGAATAAGTATAGATTTTTCGAATTGGTCACATGCTGCCCGAATGTCGCCCTGTGGTATTTAGGCCCATTCCCGGCGAAGCGCTTGCTTGAGGTGATCGACACTTTGCTATTTTTAGTGCGAACCTTGCTTCCTGAAATACTACAGACACAATAGTCCAACGAATTGGTATCCGGAGATTTTGGTGGTCATTGTGCGCTGGAAATGAAGCGAGAAACAACATTTTGTAACCATTCTTGGGTGGCGCGTGCTGAGTGCGATGGTGCTGAGTCCTGTTGGAATGCCCAAGGTCTGCAGCCAAAATTTTGGCATGCCCAAGGCTTTAATGCACACTCCATTTTTTCTGATACCACGGTCGATTAATACGAACGGAGAGCGACCATCGGCTGTTATGGCGACCCTTACCATCACCATGGCCTGCGCTTGAGTTCTGGTGGCCAACCGAAGTTGCACATTTTCAGCTGACCTCTTTGGCAAGTAAACATGATAATTTTGTTTGTTTACAAACTGCTCAACAACGAATGTTTTCTCATCGGAGAAAACCAAATTCGGCAATTCACCACCTTCGCCAAGCAAAGCAACTCTTTAGCTCTTTTGAGTCTATTTTCTTTCTGTTGCGGTGTAAGTTCTTGCACTTTTTGGAATTTCAATGGCTGTTATGGCGACCCACAAGTTCTTGCACTTTTTGGAATTTCAATGGCTTTACCCCGAGCCCATTTGTCAATATTTTCCGAATGGACTATTGCGATATGTTCAGCTTACAAGCCATTTTGGGCCACAGCGACGTGGGTTTCGATCAAGTCGCTTCTTTCTTTTCGAACCATTTCGTCGGGTTACTCTATCAGTATCACGGTAACGAGCGATGGTACGAGCGATACAGAATATTTATTCACATTTAAATGCTGGAGTGCTCTAACGGTAGCCACTTGTGGTTTGCCAGCCAAATATAAAGAAATCCCATTATCACGCTTTAATTCCATCACGAATGACTTTTTTTCTGAAAAAATATCGCCAAAATATCTTTGTACGCTTGTATACAATGTGAGATGTCACTGGAATAATTTTAACAACTGTCTGACGAGTGGCTTAGAAATGACAGCAGTCTGAAGTTGGTTGTTTCATCTCACCCTGTATCAATTGTGCATTTTGAGTACTAACAAGTTATAAAGCAGTAAGTTCGGCCGGGCCGAACTTTTAATACCCTCCACCATTTGCAACGAATTTGGAAATTTTCAAAAAATAAAATCCTTAAAAAATTCTGTTAAAATTTTAAAAATACCGAATATAGCCGTTATTTTGGGGTCTATACGTCGTGGCATTGTTTGTCATAAGCCACTACCATATTCAAATTCGAAACTTGAAATAAACGGTGAATAATGTAGCTAAAATCATCAAAATACCGAATATAGGAGGTACCGTTATATAGGGGCTATACGAAGACCTGGAACCGCACAGACAATTTTCTGCCACAGACTGTAGTTCCCATAACGAACTTCAAATACCAATTTTAAAACAATTCCGGTGAATAATGTTGCTAAAATCATCAAAATACCGAATATAGGGAGGTACCGTTATATTGGGGCTATATGAAGACGTGGACCTGCACAGACAATTTTCTGTCTTAGGGTGTAGTATCCATTTTAAACTTCAAATACCAAATTTGAAACAATTCCCGTGAATAATGTCGCTAAAATCATCAAAATACCGAATATCGGGAGGTACCGTTATATGGGGGCTATACCAAGACGTGGACCTGCACGGATAATTTTCCGTCTTAGGGTGTAGTATCCATTTTGAACTTCAAATACCAAATTTGAAACAATTCCCGTGAATAATGTCGCTAAAATCATCAAAATACCGAATATAGGGAGGTACCGTTATATGGGGGCTATATGAAAACGTGGACCTTCGTGGCCCATTTACGAACTTAACCTGCCTACTGGAAAAATAAACATGTGTGCAAAATTTTAGCCACCTATCTCAATTCATTCGAAAGATAGCGTGATTACAACAGACAGACAGACGGACAGACAGACAGACAGACAGACAGACGGACAGACAGACAGACAGACGGACATGGCTAAATCGTCTTAGAATTTTACGCTGATCAAGAATATATATACTTTGTTGGGTCTGATATGAGTATTTCGAGGAGTTACAAACGGAATGACAAAGTTAATATACCCTCCATAGTATGGTGGAGGGTATAAAAAGGCCTAACACGAACTGTTGAAACGAATCTAACATTTTAAAGTGGACTTTTCGCTGGCATTTCTGGACATTTTTATTTGGGTGTATTAAAGCTTTTGTTCGTGAGCTATCTCAAAATATTATTGATCATAACATGGCTTAATCAATTCTCGCAGTAAATAGCAAAATAACGAGAAACAAAAGCTACTGGTCTTTAGCTCCGTAAAAGCTCAAACACACGCTTAATGAATGGTCGTTGTAGAAGAGGCGGGTGCGAATAAAAAAAAAACAACATAAAATCACAACTGAAGCTTATACAAATATTATGAGGAACCAGTTTGGTAAAAAACAGCTTCGTGAATGCTCGAAGCAAAACAAACAATACGAATGGAAGAAATGGAAAAATAATAATTCGCAACTGAAACAAACAAGATAGAGTGCCCACCGCACCGCCAACAAAACTGGCCCCAAACTGACAGAACCAATGAATGAGAGAATTGTGCAAAAGCTTTAACGAAAAGCCAAATACAAATGGCAAGTGCCAAGATCTGCAAAATCTCAGCTAACATAAATGAGCGAAAATACTAAGCGAACGGTTAGATAGCGCGGAGATTTGAAGAATATTTAATAAGAAATTAAAATTATATAAAAATTAGTTAAGAAACCCAAAAAAAAAAAATCAAAAACAAAAACAAAAATACAAACAAAAAAGAAAAACCAAAAATAAAAAAAACAACAACTACAGCAAAAAATTAACGAGCAAAGCGAAATTCAATAAAAAATCAATACCAAAATAAAATCAAAGAAGATTTTAGCCAACAGAAATATTCAAAACAAACGAAAAAATTATCTCATACCAAAAAGGCAAACAAACAAAGCGCGTGTGACAAAGACCCATGCGTTTATGGATACTACAAATGCTTTACTAGATTTTTGTGGTCTTTTGGAGTATTTTGCCAAAAAAATATAATTGATAACTTCAGATTATTTTTACTGCAATTAAAATTGATTAGAAACTTAATTGTATCATTTTTGTGTGAAAAGTGGCTCAACAAAAAGAACCTGACATATTTTTTTTCTAAACAAAAGTGAAGCTGAACACATGCACACACTTTTACAACTACTAAACATTGCGCATGCGTCTGGTCATGCTAATTTGATGTCTACATATGCTCAAGACAACATCTAATTATCCTAACCCACTCGAAGTAGACAATGTCAAAGATGCTGCAAATATCAGCTCTAACGATGATAATCAAGATGCTGATGCCATGTTTCTAATAGTTTCCAGCATACAATGAATGAAGATAACAATGCACACCTCCATATCACCTGTTGTCTAATTTCTTCTCCCAACGTCTGCTAAGAATTCCCACTGTGTGATCTCATAAGCAAATGTAGACAACAATCAATTCAACTGCCGCTGCCGTCACAACTCTCGAGCATCACCAGTACCAGCCAGTCAAACAGCCAGCCAGCCACAATTAACATTCATAAGCACTTAGATTCTGATCCCCTTTGGTTAAATGATTTATATGCCTATTCCGTCGTACAGCACCCCTCCATCCACAGTCCATCCAGTGATGATAAATCAGACAACCAGCCAGTCGTCTCGTCTGAAAGTCTAGGAAAATCTAGTTTTTGTTTTCTTTTTCTATGAAAACTGGTCGATTTGTTTTTCTTCACACATTTCAATACGATAGAAAACGAATTGCTTTCGCGCAGGCGCATTCGCCACTCAAACAGAACACAACCATAGCACGTCAACCGAGTTAGCAAAACAAAAACGAAAATCTAGTGCAAGAACTTGGCCAATAAAAAAAAGACGAAGAAACGACATCAACGGCGCATCATACATACCAGCTCATCTTTGGTATTGAGGTCCATTACCAGATATTTGAAATTCCCTTTTGTGGTCTGAATGGAAAACGGCAAGAAAATGTTCTCTTTTACAGCAACTGATTCGAATTCTTCTTTAAAGGTAAGTAATCAGATACAATTTCTGTCTTACAACAACAGCATGTGTCAAATGAATGAATATAACGAATTTATGTAGTTACAAATTTATAAATAAATAATTTGAAACAAAGCGCTAAATTGGGTTGGATTAATGTCCAGATTAACACAGGTCCATCATACCATTAATGATCGTCCTACGGGTTAAGAACGAATGAAATGTTAAATTGTATGAATCCAACATGTAAAATATATATCTTCATCAATTTTCACTAAATTTGTAGGAGGTATTTTTATGTTGACTTTAAGAAGACTTACATTAAAATAAGCAAATCATATTCCGCTATACATGATCTATACATGTGTAGCTATAGCTACATCTGAACATTCGGCTAAAGTCGGTACAATGAACACAATGAACTTAAGTCGGACGAGGATATATTAAAGCGAAAGATCCAAATTTGAACCGATCCCTAAAGAATTTGCTAATGTTATATCAAATATTGTACCGAAAATCATTGTTATGGAGTACATATTCCTGGCTTTGGGGGAAAAAAATATTAAAACGGAATACATATGATATCTATAGCTTTTAAACAAACTTTATATACTTCCTTTATTATCCAAACTTGGTTCATGGTAATATTACTATAAAACTTAGATCCACTCTTTCTGGTACCTTCCATACAAAAATTTTAAAAGAAAAAAAAAAATAATAAGGCTTGTATAACAAGACAGGATCATTCAATGTTGTCCAAACTTTGCCAATTTTAATCTTCTTATCATAAGTCAGGTCAGAAAATAACAATATCTACCCACTCCATCAAATGCTTAAAATTGTAAATAATTATAACTCGTATGATGTATGAAATAAAAGTTCAATTGTCCTCAAATTCGCATATCTCAATATTCCTACTAACCCCAGATATGATATAAAGAACAACGGACCACTCCCCTGGTACCTCTCCAAAAATGGGTCAAAAAAAATGGGTGCGTTATATCGGGCTAAACGAAGACGTGGACCTACATGGCCCATTTTCTGTTTTATGCTGCAGTATCTATTACGAATTTCAAACACCAAATTTGGAACGATTCCGTTAAATAATGCCGTTAAATCATTAAAATACCGAATGTCGGGGGGTACCGTTATATGGGGGCTATATGAAGACGTGGACCTACAGGGCCCATTTACGAACTTAACCTGCCTACTGGAAAAATATACATGTGTGCAAAATTTTAGCCTTCTATCTCAATTTGTTCGAAATATAGCGTGATTACAACAGACAGACAGACGGACATGGCTAAATCGTCTTAGAATTTTACGCTGATCAAGAATATATATACTTTGTTGGGTCTGACATGAGTATTTCGAGGAGTTACAAACGGAATGACAAAATTAATATACCCTCCATAGTAGGGTGAAGGGTATATAAATGTCGTAAATAGCATAAAATTTTAGAATAAGTTTATATTCGAATTGGTCACCTTTGGCACGAATTATGGCCCTTAATGAAACCAATGAAACCGTCACACGCTGCCCGAATGTTGCTGTGCGGTATTTTGGCCCATTTCCGTCGAAGCGGTACTTTTAGTGCCAACCTTGCTTTCTAAAATACTCCAGACACAATAATCCAGGGGATTGGTATCCGGAGATTTTGGTGGCCATTGTGCGCTGGAATGAAGTGAGGAACCTCATATCGTAACCATTCTTGGGTGGCGCGTGCTGAGTCCTGTTGGAATGTGCACATTCTCAGCTGATCTGTTTGGCAGGTAAACACGATAATATCGTTTGTTTACAAACTGCTGGACAACGAATGTTTTCTCATTGGAGAAAGCCAAATTCGGCAGTTCACCACTTTCGGCCAAGCGAAGCAACCCTTTAGCTCTTTTGAGTCCATTTTCTTTCCGTTGCGGTGTAAGTTCTTGCACTTTTTGGAATTTCAATGGATTTACCCCGAGCTAATTTTTCAATATTTGCCGAATGGAATATTGCGATATGTTAAACTCACGAGTCATTTTTCGGCCAATGCGACGCGGGATTCGATAAAGTACCTTCTTAAATTTTCAAACCATTTCTGCTGCTATTGCTGTTTTCTTCCGTCCACTTCCTTGATGTCGGGCTACGCTACTAGTATCACGGTAACGACACAAAAGATTTATTCATTTTTAAATGCTGGAGTGCTCTAACGATAGCCACTTGTGGTTTTCCAGCCAAATAATAAGAAAACTATCACGCTTGAATTCCATCACGAATAATTTTTTTCTGGAAAATTCTCACCGAAATTCTTTTGTACGCTTGTAAACATATAATGAGCTGTCACTGGAATAATTTTAACAGCTGTCGGACTTAGTGGCTTAGAAATGACAGCAGTCTCAAGTTTGTTGCAGGTTTTTCATATCACCCTGTACAAGTTAGCTTGTCCTTCAAAGTAACTCAATACCGTTATTTTCAAGTATAAGCTGTTATTGTCGTATATTTAGCACCGATTAATTTGTTTGGAAACACATAAACAGCCATGCACTTTAGTTCAGTTCAGAGACTCAACTGAATTGAGTAGTAATTGCTATTAATCTTCTATCAGAAAGTACCCTAGCCTGTACCTCCGTTTTTTTTTTTTTTTGCAAAATTGCAAAAATCACCAAGTAGTTGGCTTGTAAGGTATATTGTAGCACACTTAACTACTTACAAAACATCACATTAACACCTTCTTTTAACATAGATATGTCATAGGAATTAAGTACTTAGCAAACTAGCGCAATTTTTATTCTGTTTCCCACCGAAAATAACACTTTATAAAGTATATAATTTATTTTCTTTACTTTACACTGGTGAAATTATATCACGACAGTTCCTCTTCGAAATGGTGATCTCCTCATTGATACCAGCCAGTACTACGTCCATTATTTGTTGTTCATTGATTATATTCCGTATTTTGACGACTTAGATTACATTTTCTAACAGAATTATTTATAATTTGGTTCATCGATTTTATAATGAGTCCGAACTCTGGTGGAAAAACATTGTCTATATAGTTCCATGTTGTTTAAAATTCGGTACTGTGACAGATATTGCATATATAGCTTCACTTTCTGTTATAGACAACGCCCCCCTTTATTTGGTATTCTAATGATGATAGCCATAATTTTCAGGGGAATCATTTAAAATTCGGTATGTGGAGTAAACATTTTTGACTTCTGTGACACAGAACTTCTGGAATAGGCTCATTATTTATTTTATCATTCATTTTGGGATTATAGCCGCATTCCTAAGCAGATCTTTTTTAATTTAACTCTTTAACAATCATTTTAGCAGGAAACTGAGTAGTGGATATAAAAGAGAAACTGATAGACTAATTTTAAGTATATGAAGCATAACTTAGTTTTGTCAGTTACCAAGGTTTCATGCTCGGTCTAGGACATTTTTAATAAAAACTATTACCCACATTTTCATGCGACATAACATTGGAAATCTCTATCAAGATAAAAAGTTGTCATACGTAGCGACAACAATTTCATGGTGATGATCTTGAGGTATAAAATTCGAAAAGTATTCGACAAGTGAATCAAAACTGACTCTTTATTAGTTGAATATTGTTTTATCGAAATTTTTCTACCCTCCACCATAGCATGGATGGTATATTAAGTATGTCATTCCGTTTGTAACACCTTGAAATAGAGTGATTCCTCTGTGGAAATCACTCTAGCTTCCGAACGAAATGAAGTAGGTTGATACAATTTTACTCAAATGTGTATTATGTCTGCAGGACTTTTGGTTTTGAAAATGGGTAATGTAGGTCCACGTCTTCTTATAGCCCCCCATAATGGTACCTCCCTTTTTTCGGTATTTTGGTGATTAAAGCGACGTTATTCACCGGAATTGTTTCAAATTTGGTATTTGAAAGTCGCAACGGATACTGCAGCCTATGACAGAAAGTTGTCTGTGCAGGTTCACGTTTTCATATAGCCCCTATATGACGATACTCCGATATTCGGTACTTTGATGATTTTAGCGACATTTTTCACCGAAATTTTTAACTTGTTAATATACAAACCGGTAGTAGGCGTGATCAAATTTAATATTATTAATATTATACATATATTTAAGATAAACAAATTAAAAAACATTAATTTCGGCCGTTCCAAACTTTTAATACCCTCCACCTTAGGGTAAAGGAAACATTAGAAGAAATGTTGCAAAAACCATTAAAATGCCGAATATCGGGAGGTGCCGTTATATAGGGCTATACCAAATCGTGGACCTACACATGCAATGTTTCGCCAAAGGAGCTAGAACCCATTATGACCTACAAATACCAATTTTCAGACAAATGTGGTAAAAACCATCAAAATACCGAATATCGGGAGGTACCGTTATATGGGGGCTATACCAAAACGTGGACCTATAAATACAATGACTCGTCACACGAACTGGGACCCATTATGATCTACAACTACAAATTTTTAGACATATCGGTGAAGAAATGTGTCAAAAATAATAAAAATGCCGAATATTGGGAGGTACCTTTATTTGGGGACTATACCAAAACGTGGACCTATACATACAATGTTTCGCCACACGAACTAGGACCCATTCTGGACCACAAATATCATTTTCAAGACAAATCAGTGAAAAAAATATGGTAAAAACCATCAAAATACCGAATATCGGGAGGTACCGTTGTATGGGGGCTATACCAAAACGTGGAACTATACATGCAATGTTTTGCCACACAACAGGGTCTCGTTATGACCTACAAATACCAATTTTCAGACAAATCCGTGAAAAATATGGGGAGGTACCGTTATATAGGGACTATACCAGAACGTGGACCTATATATCTCATTTTCAATACCAACCATCCTAGACACAATAAAAATTGCTCTGCTAATTTTTGACGCTCTACGTGAAATAATGTGGGCTATATCGTGATTTCAAAAGACAAACGAACATCGTTAAATCGACTTCGAATTTTATGCTGATTATGAATATATATAATTTATGGGGTCTACGGCGAATATTTAAGG